ATAAAGAAATTCTTTAGATTTATTTTCAAGAAATGTTTATACTTAATATCGCAATAGGCTTAAAAAGTCAAGGGTTTCCTCTTATGTTTAATTCATTACTATTAAAGGATCATAAGAGCCACTCCTCATTACCCTTATTGCATTTTTATTCGCATAATTTTATTATAAATATTGGCTCACACCCACGGCTTCGATTTTCCAGCGCTCTACGTATGCAAATTAAATTTACATTTATTTTTCGTGACTCGATGCAAATTTGCGCAATGCGAGACAGGTGGTGTGGTGTGGTGTGGTGCGGTGCGGTGGGTGCGGATCCTGGAGGGGGCGTGGTTCTGCCTGTCTCTGCCGCTGCACGCTCAGCACGTTTATTCGCACTTAATTCGCACTTTTTGACACCTTTGTGACCGAACCCCGGATACCGTCGATCCCCTCGAATCGCCAAAGTCCGAAAAGTAAATATACAAACTCTGCCCTTTTCCCATTTTCCATTTCCCATTTCCCTTTCCCCTGTTTTTCAACATGTCAGCGGCATAATGTGCATTGCCACCAGCAGAGGGAACGAGAGAGAGAGAGAGAGAGAAAACGGCGCGAAAAATTATGCAAAATAAATTAATTACCAATTAAGGGTGGGGTGAATGATGCAGCACAGCAACAGCTGTTGTTGCTGGACCTCTGCCGCCGCCCCCCCTTTTTCCCCGTGATTTTGCCACCCGTTTTGCTGGGGGTTGCAATCTCGTTTTCCGCCGCTGCGTTTGTCACATGAGCACCGCCACTAATTAGTGTCATTAAAAGCGCTCCACATGAGAGGAGCACCCTTGAGCGGACCAACCCCCCTCTTGTGGAAAGTGGCAAGTGGAAAGTGCATAAAACGTGACACAAAATTGCAGCGGCCAAATAAATAAACCATAAACATAACTGACCGCAGAAATTAACTTAATTCCAAGAGGTTCTCTATTTGGCCCCCGGGAAGGGATCAAAATGGTAGGAATATAAGGGGTGATGGTGGTGTGGCCAGGCCAGTAAGCAAGTGACTTCCGTTAACTTGCGTGCAAAGGCGTAATTTTCAGTGGAGAGACCCCTTCTTCATTCTTTGTCGCTCGGATTGGGGTTAAAAAGGGTTTAAGTTGCCACTAACTTGGGTCACATGCATATGCATAATTATAGAGCGCCTCGTCCGGAACGGAACGTACCCCGCCGCTCCACCCCATCCTCCTCCGCTTAGCAAACTAAACTGTGAAAACGCCAGAGGGGCTTTAAAAGGAGGCCCGGCCCCGGGTCCGGGTATTATGGCACTGACCGGAATACGATGTCCCGCCCCCCGACCCACCTGGCACGTGAAATTTGAATATTGATTGGCTTTAATGAGTGTCGTTGGTCGCGCAATTAGTTCGGCAAGGGTTTGTGTTGTGGGGCTTAGGGCTTAGGGCAGCGGAAATGTGGAGTGCTCAGGGGTGGTACCGCACAGGCGTAGGAATCCCGGATTTCCCCAGGTTCGAAACCTCTCTCCTTTTTTTTCCTTTTTTTTTAGAATTGTTTAGAAATTTAAGGCTATTTATGCCCACCAGTCCCAACGACTTAATAAATAATATACTTGAACGGAAATATAATTTACCTCTTCCATTTCTTTCGTGTTTTTGTACATTTCTTTTTAAATCCCAGCGTAACTTGGGGACTTATAGTACTAGTACAATTGACTTCATGAAAAATAGAATTGTAGGTACAATAATAAATATTTTCAACAGATCTACATATGCTGACTTAATTTTAATGGTATATTTTTGTTTATTTCTTGTGTAACAATAAACTTCAAGAAGTTGTTAACTTCATATTTTCCTTGTTTAGCTCATTTTGTTTTTGAGTGTATATCCTTGCATCCCTTGTTACTAATTTTTCGGACAGCGCTAGATTTAAAGTGTCCGATCGCCGGGCGGACTCTAACTAAACTAATTACATATCAGTCAGTCAGTCAGTCAGTGGGTGAGTCAATCAATCAATCAAGCTGCCAGCAGCAGAGAGATCATTTGCCAGGGGCCTATCTCCGCATCGGGCCAAAATTGGATGCAAATTGAAAAGCATTTTGTGGGAATGTAATGCATAAATTAATTGAGCGGCCACACGCACACAGAGAGAAAAACTATGAATCTGCAATGAGTGAGTGAGTGAGTGAGTCAGTGAGTGTGGCGGGAAAAGGCGGTTGCCAGATAAAGCATTCATGCAGCCCACGCCACGCCCACAGCGCTAGTGGAAATGCAATTGAAAATGAAAATCTAATATGGACGCGCGTTTCCGAGCGGCGTTTAGCATTCGATTTCATTTGTCTAAACTAAATAACAATGCAGTCTGTGCGGGCCGCGAAGTAGGGGGCGTGGTGGCGTTGCATGTTGCATGTTGCAGCTGCCAAAATTGAGTTTTGATGCGCTGCATCCTCCAACTCCGGGCCTTCAGTCCTGTTATTGTTTGAAACGTCGCGTTAAATTTACATAAATTGATTTGATTGAATTTTTATGAGTCGGCGGTGCAGTCCAGTGCCAGTTGACCATCCGTGCCACCCAAACCCCCACCAATTCTGGCATTCTGGAGCTCTGCAATGGCCAGCGGGCATCAACTGCTGATGACTTTTTGACCCCACCGCTGCAGGACGTGGGGATTCGGAGGCAACCGTCTAATTAAAGTCATTTCCAGCAGCTGCATAACCCCGCTCTTTGGGCCGTGGTTAAGTCGAGGTCACAGTTGGCGCTACATGGCGCAGGGCTTAATGCGAGCCATTTGGCCCGTACCCTGCCCTGTAAAACGGACAAACGGTCAAACGGACAAGCGGACAACGGACAAGGAACACGGACGGGGGCAATCAGCGAAAAGAGAGGCGGCCAAAAGCAGAACCAGACACAGCACACATTGTGCCCACCGTCTCTGGGGAGTGCACAGAAAAAAAATGATATATTCAATTAAAATGAGAATTAAACAATACTTTTTTTAGTAATTCAAGTACATACCTAACATTATTTGACTTCTGTCTTTTGTCACTTCTGTCTTACTTAATCTGAAATTGTATATTATAGTAAGTTGCGTAATACAAATTATTAGGTAATGTTTTTATATATGACTTGATATATTTTTATTTATTAACAAAAAATATTAATAAACAACATCAAACGGCAATTAACCTGTAAAACTTCTTAAGCACAAGAATGACCTTAAACAAGCCGTGTTTTTTTTCAGTGTAGTAAGTGCAACATGGACGAGGCATTGCATATTTTTAGGGTTTCCCCAGCGCTGGCTGAAATTTGCACATTGCAACAAACTATTTAACAGTGGCAAAGGTTTGGGGGGGCGCCAATTTGTCATAAATCTCGTTATTTTAAATCGTCGCTTGGCATTCAACAGAATTGTGTGTGGGTAAATGTGCCTTTGTTTGCATTGATTTGTTGCTGGCCATTCGCTTAGCTGGTTTCTGTTAACGTTAACGTTATCGAGCGAAAGCAGTCGGAGATATTATTTTGGGGGCTTTGTGAACTATTAAAACGGGGTAAGAAGTACAGTCGGTTTTCCACAACTTGATTTCCAAAGTACAATAAAAATAAAACTAGAAGTCTTCATGACTCAACTGTCATTCTTGGCAAATACTTGTTCAAGCACATGTAAAGAGCCATATATTTTATGTTCTTTGCAATAGGCGAATAAAGTTAGCGATAAGTTTATACAAGGGATATACTACAAACGATCGGGAAGCTTGTATTCAGAAGTTGGCAGCTGGTGTTTCAATCAGGCTCGTTGGTCTAGAGGTATGATTCTCGCTTCGGGTGCGAGAGGTCCCGGGTTCAATTCCCGGACGAGCCCAAGTGGAAAGTAAGTTTTTTTTTGTTTTTGTTCTTAAAAAAATGTTTAATAAATATTTTATTGTTTACAAGTGGCATTTATATAGTATTTTATATATTTTGAATATTTGTTCAAATTTGTAAAGCCTATATTTATTTGAAAGCCCAAAAGTATGCCTCACAGTAGCGATCTGTGGCACAGTGGCGCCGCCGTTGCGGTGACGCATTTCTCAACACTCTGTCACAGCTGTCAATTGCCGTTACTTTATGCGAAGTTAACACAAACTTGACGTGCATAAATATGTACCAAACCTAAAGGGTAAACATATTTTTATTTTTTAATTTAACAATTAGCTTTTAGTTTAGTTCACATTGCTTGTAATTATTTGAATAATTTTAAACAGCTAATGTAATTGGTTTTTTGTTTGTTTACCTTAAAATAAATATTTATATATATTAATAAAACAACTATATTTTAGTTTCTTGTAAATTTGTATTTTTTGCAAAACATGTTATTATTGTTAAAATGTAGACAACAGATATTATTCTAATCGATTTAAATTTGAATAATATGTGTCGTTTATTGACATATATTATTCAAATAAAAACATATTTCTTTTTTTATTAAACCTTAAAAGGCCCTATTTTTTTTGTAAATGTTTAATTGAAAATTCGCCATGTAATTATAAACTGTACCATTTGAGCAATGGCGGTCCTTTAAAAATGTACCAAATATGTGGCATTCATAGTTTGTTTTGTGTTTTGCAACACTGTTAGTGAAGAAGCCAACGCTTCGAGAACTTTTGCGGGAGAACACTTCTGAGAAAATTAAATTATTAATTATTAAAATTAAAATTGAGCGATTTCATCGGCATGGAGTATCTGTACAATGCCAGCATGCAGTTCGAGGACGAGGAGCGCGTCAATTTCTACAACTTCGACAAGTTCTTTGTGCCCCATGTCCAGACGCAGGAGCTGGAGCAGCAGGCGGTCCTGCGGCAGCACGTGTGGCAGCAGAACCAGTACCAGTACCAGTATCAGTTCGTCTTGTCACCCATCTCAAGTTATTGGCAGGAAATCTTTAGCTCCAACTTACATGTACACATATATATATCATATAGCATTTCAACGATCCCCTTGAAACGAACCCCTCCTAATGACATTATCTCGAATGATCCATTCCAGATGATGACTATGGACATTACCAAAACCGAACCCGGTCTCGTCGGGCTTTCCTCCAACCAACAGCAGCAGCAGCAGCAGCAACAGCAGCAGCAGCAGTCGCAGCAATCCAACGCCGGCATGAACAGCGGTGGCCAGAACAACGGGCCCAATCCCAATGGCAATGGGAATGTGGTCAATGTGGTCAACTCCGGCGGGGCCGGCGGTGGCGGCAACAATGGCAACGGGAATGTCCAGAGCATCGCCGCTGCCGCCAACAATAACAATAATAATAACAACAACGGCAGCCAATTGTGCGCCGGTTGCGGCAAGCACATCCAGGATCGCTACCTCCTCCGCGCCCTGGACATGCTGTGGCACGAGGATTGCCTCAAGTGCGGCTGCTGCGACTGCCGCCTGGGCGAGGTGGGCTCCACGCTCTACACCAAGGGCAACCTGATGCTCTGCAAGCGGGACTACTTGAGGTAAGCTTATATGTAGATTTACTATACCATTTCCTTATTTAAATGGCAAAATCTAGTTAAAGTTATATATAAACTAAACTTTACCTGAAAGAAGAACAGTGTGTTGACTACAAGAGAGCTTAATAAATTAGATTACATACTTGAAAAGGTTAAACCAGAAGATCTAGTATATATAATAATTTGCTTATTTTATGGGCATAATGCAGTTATAGTTTTTCTAAAATCCTCTACCTTATAAATAGGCTTTGGTTGAAATCAGTTTGTTGGCATGAAAGACCAGAAAGCTGAAAGAACTATATTTAATATTATAAACTTTTTATGCTTTAGTTTACTTAATTTAGTTAAGATTTAAGTGTTTTATTATATAATTTGTAAGTCAGTTAGTCACTTAGTAATCATGAGAAGACCATTAAAAGCTGGCTGATATAAAGATTTTAAACTAAATTATCCCTGTTGTATAATATATGAATTTTTTAGGAATTATGTTGTCTTAGGTTTTAATATTTTTACTTTTTTTTGACAACTTCAACAAGTCGATCCTTTTTTATAGCAGATGTTTGCCTGAGATTCCTAGTACTTTTTGTATATTTAACTGAGTTATTCTTTTTATTACAGATTGTTTGGCAACACGGGCTACTGTGCCGCCTGCAGCAAGGTGATCCCCGCCTTTGAAATGGTGATGCGTGCCCGCACCAATGTGTACCACCTGGAGTGTTTCGCCTGTCAGCAGTGCAACCACAGGTGAGCCTCGAAAGCGATCTTTTTCACTACTCCCTCACCATTGCCCCTTTTATCCATCATCCATCATCCATGATGTGGGAGCGACTAATACCCGGTCGGCACAGACGATTTCGCATGCATTTTTATGGGCAATTTGCACACTGATTCGCAGTCGAGGTGGCCGCATAAATCCCTTTTTAATCTTTGGCCCATCGAATCGGGCCCAAAGTGGCACTTGAAGTTTTATTAACGTGCTGCCTGCATGGCTGAATGGCTGAATGGCTGGCTGGCAGGCGGCAAATTGCCATCGTTTACAAGCTAACAGCAAAACAAACAAACGGGGTGTGGGTAACCCCTTTAGTGTCATACGTTTTCTATGAAAACCGCATAAATTTCGCATTGAACCGAACCCTTTTGGGTGCCATCAGCGGCTCAGTTCTCAGCTCAAATACTTTATTGGACTTGGCCAATTCCTGAAATGTCACTCTGGAGAGCTTTAAACTGCAGGCTGGCCCTTGGCATCGCGTCTCATTCTTTCCATTTGGTCAGCACAATTCCGCCTCCGTTCCGTTTGGTTTGGTTTGGTTTCGTTTTCGTTTCGGGTTTCTGCATTAATAATGAGGGCGCACATATGCCTCAGCATAGTCGATTCGTAGTCATCGTCGTCGTTTTCGTTTTCGATTGTGCAACAAGGGAGGCGAACATTAAATATTAAAAATGCCGCCACACACGGTGTGCGCTGGCTGGTAAAAAATATTGAAATAAATGTTAAAACATATTGGCATATTGTGAGAATCGACCCTACACCCGTTTGACCCCGACTCCTCAGTCGGATATCTGCCTGCTTTTGTTTTTGCTTTTGCTTTTGCATTTACTTCAGCTGGGCCTTTTGTTTTCGCATTGTCGAGAGTTGCCTTTAAAAATGTAACAGGAGCAACGAACTCCAACCATTATGGCTAATTTTCTTTAACCCATTTGAGTTTATAATTGGGCAGTTTCGCAATTTTCCCTGTCAAGTTCAATTATTTTAGATTGTCGCCTGTTAAATGATTTTATTATATAGTTGACTAGTTTTTGTTCTTATGTTATTGGTATATTATTTTAGCAGTTGACTAAATAAGATGGCAAATTAAAATTTGAGTTTAGGTGGAAAAATATAAGTCCTAGTTCAAATAAACAGTTTTTCATTAAATTTCTCCCAGTTATTCTACTTATTTAGGGTTGACCTTATATTACTTAGTTACAAAATTAATATGATATTAGAAGTTGACTAAGGATAGGAGTTTTGGTAGCAAGTTGATGGGCCTACAACATTTCTCCCAGTTCATATATATAAAAAAAAAAAAAAAAAACAGAACTGCACCCCTTCTGCTGCTAATCAATTTTTCACGTAAATTAATTCAATTGCCGAAAAAATCCATTGAGGCGTGGCCGCATGGCCAGCGGCTGCGTCTCTCCTCCTTCGCAATTGTTGGTTGGCTGGTTGGCTGGTTGGATGGCCACATTTAAAATGCGGGCTTTCATTTGGCAAACAAAAAGAGTTTTCCTGTTGAAGAGTTGTGAGTCCTCCTGTTGCTGTTTGGAAAATGTTGCAGAATGCATTGCAGTCGCCGCCTGTGAGGTTTGCATAATTTCCTGTCGTCAGCAACGAACGACGACATCCTTGCTCCGATTGGAGTCGTCGAATCCAAGTCAAATCTCTCGTCCAGTTGACTGTATATTTATTTCCCTTTTTTATATTTTGTTTTTGTTTTTCACTTTTTGGTACTTCCTGTTGACAATTTGCTGTTGGTTGTTGGTTGTTGGCTGTTGGCTGTTGGCTGTTGGTTTCTTCATCTGTTTGGCGGGGCAGGAGCAGACGAAATGCCCGGATGTGCGAATCCCGCACAGAGGCACTCACTTATCAACATGTCCGTGTCCATTTCCATTGCCATTGCCATCGCCATCGCCATGTCACAGGTGCGCTCAATGCCAATGCCACACCGGCAAAAGAAGCAAAAGTTTCGACTTTGTTGACTCTTTTTCGTGTGTGGATTTTTGGATTTTTTTTTGGTTGCCTTGTTTTGGTAGATAAACAAAGCGATTTTTTACCCTACCTTGCTCCAGCCACCAGCCATCAGCCACTAGCCACCTGCCACGCCCACCCGTCCGTCAATCGATTTGGCCACGCAACCGAAACCAGCAGGCCAACAAAATGTTGACGTAAATCAAAAGCCAAATTTCATATCCGCTGTAAGTCTGCTGTAAGCTGATTTACCCATACTCCTCCGAAAGTGGCTGCAGTGCACCCGTCCTGTGGGAATCAAACTTAAAACGTTTCTTTTTTGCCCGCCCAGGAGCAGGAGGAGCATCCAAGGAGAGAGTATGGCTGCTGGATGGCAGGATGGATGACGGATAGGATAGATGTGTCCATGACTAAATTTGCATAGGTTCCAAAAGAAAACTTAATTCACAAGTGCTAGGATCACTGAATCTCCTTTAATAAACACCAGTATTCCCATTTAAAATGCAGATATGAATAAAAATGTTAAATTCGATAGAAAAATTGTAATCACAAGTATAACTTTGAATAACTTTTAAAATAAGAAAACTTGACTCACAAGTTCAAGGATCACTGGCCCTCCTTAAATAATCACCATTGGCAGCCAAGTTTAAATTAGAATTCCTGCTTAGACAGCAGATATGATTAAAACTTGACTATTCTATAGAACTTTAAACCAGGTTTCATATTTAAACAGCAGAAAGAACTTGAAGATAGTTCCATAAATAAATGTTGTTCACAATTACCAAAAATTAACAGAACGACTGTCTCTTCTTAGTGTAAAACCCTTTAAAGGACATTTTAAATAATTTTTCTGTTTTTAAAACCAGAATTCTATTTACACTGCAAAGATTGCTCAATCTAAAGCAGGATCACTGGCTCTCCTGGTAGGAAAATCCTTTGAGGGGTTCAAATCATGTTCCCCACTTTCAAAGGACATCCACTCGTCTGCTTTGCATATGTAGCTCCATCTCCCACCCAATGCTTCACATGTTCTCTTCTGCTTTTTTCCGTTTGTAATGTGAGCTCCCTTGAATGGTTGGGTGGGTGATGGGTTGTTCGGTTCAGTTCGAGTGAGTCTGTTTGCTGTTTGCCGGAGTGGGCGTGGCGGAGTTGCCTCCGCCAACCGTACAGGTGCTAACATAAATATTTTGACAAAGGGCTCCATGCCTGGGAGCCAACTTTATTTGCAGTTGAGAGTTGAGAATTGAGAGTTGGGAGCTGAGTGCAATGCAAATGGGGCCACCTTGGCTCGACTCCTTCTACGCCAAACTGTTGCTGACAGCGCTTATCTGACTTCCTTGTCCTGTTCTGTTCAGTTCTGTTCTGTTTTGTCCTGTCCTGTCCTGTCTGCCACTCTGCTGAGTAGCTTCCTCCTTCGTCCTTCGTCGTCCTACGTCTTCGTTTTGCCATTTTGCCTTTTGTTTTTAAGTCCTGAGTTACTGAGTTCCTGAGTTGGCAGGTTACAGTCGCTATAACCGCTGTCAATTGTCATCGCTCATCGTTCATTGTCCATCATTGTCTTTGTGCATTTTCCAGCTGCTTGGCGGTGTTTTGCTGCCTAAACGTGTGGAAAAATCGTTTCCACTTCCTCCAGCGACTTTGCCATACCATACTAACCACTTTTCTTTGTCTTTGGCTTTTTTTTTTGCTTTTGCCAGATTCTGCGTTGGCGACCGCTTTTACCTGTGCGAGAACAAGATACTCTGCGAGTACGACTACGAGGAGCGACTGGTCTTCGCCTCGATGGCCAATCATCCGATGCTGAAACGCCACGTCTCCTCGCTGGGCCAAGGATCGCCGACTGGGGCGGCTGGGGCGCAGAACACCGCCGGTGGACTGCTGGGCGGCGGACCCGGCGGCGGCGGGGTGGCCAATGTCAATGGCGTTGGCATGGTCAATGGACCGCGGACGCCGGGCGATCACAACAACAACAACAATGGCCCCCAGACGCCCACCGGCGGTGGATCGCCGTTCGCCGCAGCCGCCGCCGCTGCCGCCGCCGCTGCCCACATGAAGAATCAGCTGGGAGCGTCCAGCTAAAATAAAGCCCTGGGCATGGGCGCTGCTGGTACTGTTCTGACGGGATCTGGAATGCCCACTGGACTAGGCGTTGGCGTTGGCGTTGGCATTGGAGTTGGATCGACTGCCAGTCAGCAATTCTATTCGGGCTTTGGACTGCAGCACCAGCATCAACAGCAGCAGCAGCAGCAGCATCAACAGCAACAGCATCAACAGCAGCAACAGCAGCAGCTCATGAGTTTGGGTATGGGAATGGGCAGCGGTGGAGGAGCAGGATCCACCAGTGGAGGAGCAGGTGGAGGAGTCACAGGAGGAGGCGTTGGCAGCATCGGCAGCGGCTGCAAGCGCTACCAAAGAAAGTTCTACAACCGCAACTGAGAGAATCGACAACATCGAGGAGGGGGAGAAAAAGAAAACGCTATGGGAAAGGATAATGAGGATACAGACATCCGGATTCGATATTCAAATCTTCGTTTGCTTTGACTGAGTTCAAGTTTTATAGTTTTAGAAATCACTAGTTTAGTTTAGCCTACACAAAAGTACTTGCTGAAGTTGCGCATACATTTTTGGATTCTAACATTTAAGAGACAATATGTTTACTTAGTTCTATTCGAGAGGTTTTTTTTTTATTCTTGTGTTTCCACCGAGACAATCTGTACATATTTTTCTTGTGAACTGTTGACTTTATAGTGCGATCCTTTTTTTTTTTTTATATATATATAGATATATATATAAACTCCACCATATAGATATATTTGTATTTATCTATGTGTAATGTATAATGCATAAATAATTTTATTTTCACGCTCGAAGCGTGCGGTGCCAAAACAAATTCAAAGCAGTGCCAAAAAGTTAAAAAATAAATGAAGGATAAAACGTGAAGTGGAGGAGGAGATTCGATGGAGGCGGCTGAAATTCGGATATGTGGACTTCTGAAATATCGATAGAGATAGAGAGAGAGAGAGAGTTAAACATCCCCACCGATCAATGTTCGATTTTCAATGAGTCTGTGGATCTGTGCATCCGAAAGAAGCCGCAAGAGGTGGGATGAGTTGGATGAGTTGGATAAGTTGGATAAGTTAAAGGGCAATTGGCAAAGTGAACTTTGATGTGTAAATATTGAAAACATTCTGCACACGACTTAAGCACACATGATGATTTTTGTTCTGATTCCATTTTAAGTCTGTTGGAGCAACGTTGTTGATTATTATTTAAGTTTAGTTTAGTGCGAGGCTAAAGAATGTTCTTTCCACGGCGAACGTTGTACTTGTATAGAAGTAGCAGAGCAGCGGTAGATGTAAAGAGCCTAAGCCTAAGCCTAGGGTCGATGTAAAGTTAGGGACGTGTGTATGTATCTATATAACCAAGCGAACTAGTTACAATGTGGATGTATTTATTAATCCTTTTTTTCTTTTTTTTTTTTTGCAATCTAATGTAACACTAATCAATACGCGTAATTAGAGTTCGAGTTCGAGTTCGAGGTCGGAGCTAGCGAATATATACTAAGTAAAGGGAGAAACCAAAGTGTGTGTGTATAAGCATCATCAGTCTATCTACGAGCGATAAACAATACTACCTATCTATCGAATTACCGAAACTATGTTAAATATCGTAATAATCTAATAATCAGACCTAAGTAAGAGCGATTACCCAATATTTTTTTTGTATCGTATTGTTAGAGAGCAGGCATAAAGTTAAATCAAAAATATCTAATGTGTAAGATAAACCCGCTTAGACTTATACATATACGTGCATATACATTACAAAAACACAAACCATACTCCATCATGTTTTTTGGACAGCAACTATTATTAAATAAACAACAACAACAAAAACCAGAACAAATGCAGATGCAAATGCAAATGCAAATGAAAAAAATCAAAAAACTAAAGAGAAAAGAGAGTAAAAAAGCAAAAAAATAAAACAAAAGCTAAAGCAAAAAACAAAAGGAAACAATAAATGTAATTAACAAACATTTGAAAAAATTAACCCGCAGTTGTTGGCATTCATTTCATCAAGGGTTTTGCTATGGTTTTGGCTTGGGATATGGCAGTATGATATTGTGGGCTACTGGATTGGGTTTTTTGTAATTCCCCCCAGTCTGCCGATTGCAGTTTGTCGCTTGACATTTGTTGACTCTTTCGCTTTGACGGCCATTAATCACGGCATTGTTGTTGCCAATTTCAAATCCACAGCCCAGACAGCCCAAACAGCCCAAACAGGCCAGCCCAGGCAATCCGCACCAGAATGGAAGGCTGATAAATGATGCCTCATATTTTTGAGCTCCGCTTCGCTACGCAATTGAAATAATAAAACCAAAAACCAGAAAAGCCAGCCAGCCACCCCCTGAGCCATATTGATTAATGAAACTTTAAAAGGGAACACGCGTACGCGTCTTTTGTCTGCGACGACCGCAAAACTTTGCCATGGAGATAGCGCATCTTTTCAATATACGATGCAAAAGTTTGCCGTCTTATTAGGATTGGGATTGAGATTGGAACTGGTATTGGGATAGGGATCGGGAGCCAAGGAGCCAAGGAGCCAGGACCATGTCGCCGCAGGCCATAACAATAAAAGTCATTTATAGATTTCGATTTCGGGCACATGTGAGAGCTCCCAGCCCCTGGGGGCCCCACTATACCCACTATACTATATATACATATATAGATAGCTTAGCCATTGAATAGTTACAGGCTGCTTATCAGCACTTTTGTTCGCCAAATACAAGGAGGGTGGTTGTCGTGGTCCTTTGTCTTTGCCTTCGGCCTTCGTTCTTCGTCCTGGTGTCATAATCAGTATCAGTGCTTATGAAAATGTCCTGATGTCCTGTTTCTTTGTCCCAGAAAATGCTTATCGCAGCGCGGTCTGCCCATTTCCTTGTCGTCGCCATAAAAATCTATAAAAATAATGTTTCAATTCTGCACGGTATTTCCGGGCGACCAAAGTGCCCCTGTCAATCATTCGGGGTGAGGAATGTGGCCGAAAAATATTATGATAAGCCAAGATAAATCGCTGGCATTGCGGAATGACAGCAGGCAATTAAAATCGCTCGACAAAAGACACCACACCACACCCCTGTTCACAACGGATGCTTAATTAAACGAGTTTGCGTCCTAAACTCTTTTCATGTTTTAATTACGCAAATACTCGGCATAATTCACCAGATGCTATGACAACGCAAGGTAAAGAGCGAAAAATATGCATAAGAAACAATTTGTCTAAGCTGCGGTGCCTTTGTCCCGCCCGACTTGCTATTCCCCCATCCAATCTTAAAAGCAATCCAAAGCAATCCAAGGCACTCCGAATCCCCCCGTGCATCCATTGTAATGCGACAACTCTCGGCGTCAACCTTGTGTCAACTTCAAAGTGCAAATTCCACAATTCACCTTGTTTGCATATTCCTCTCCTGATCCTGATCCAGTTTCCGATTATGTTTCTGTTCCACTTCCTATTCCCGTTCCCAACTGCCAACTCCAAACTTCTTCTCATCGCATAATTCCAGGGGCTCGGATTGCTTTGTGCAAATTAGTTCAGCGGCATGACCGATTCACTCCGGAATGGAATCCAGTCAACAGCATTACTCAAGGACTTAACTCGTTGAGGAGGTCGGTTTTTTTTCGAAATAGAAATTATTTATTTATCCATTTCCCCAACAGAACAATCTTTAACTCTACGCATTATGCATAAACGATTTTTCACTTCAAAGTGATCCTACTTTAGCAGAAAAAAAATATTAAATCCAAATATTTTAAATGTGAAAATATACAAAATGTTTTAAAATTTCCATTTTATTATTTTAAAACATTTTTCAATTTCCAAACTGAAATTAAATTAAATTTGTAATTTAAATTGTGATTGGTGTAGTTTTGCAAATTTAGTTTTTAGTTGTATTGTAAGTTCTTAAGTTATTATGGCCTTATAGTTGTTAAAAAGCTGTTCCTATTCTAAAAAGAAATAAACAAGTGTTTTTCATGTTTGTTTTACAGAATTTCAAAAGTTTATTTTTATTTTTTTATTTCAAAAGATAAGTATAGAACTTTACTTAATTATTTGATATGGTTAAGCCAGCATGACGTTTTTTTAAGAAAAATATCATTTTTGCAAGGACTGTTCCTTGAGGCATTATTAAGATGCAGTTGATAGATGTGCAGGTCTCATAAGTACACTTGCGGCGTCATACAAACTGAGATTGGAATGCTGATGGGATAGTTTTCGCATTCCACTTCCCAGTTGACAATGCACTTGGGGCATGCCATAAATATGCTTTGTGCCCCTTCCAACTGTTGTGCCCGGGGCCAATCAAGAAACGGCAGGGCCCCCAGTCCAGTCCAGTGGCCACCACCCGAACCCGAACCCCCGCCCGCAGGATGTCCCGACCCACATGTCAAGTGGGGGTTGGGGTCGTGGGTGGGTGTGTGTGTGGGTGTGTGGGTCTGGGTGTGGCCAAATGCCAAATCAGCGTCGTCGTCGTCGTCGTCGTCGTCGTCATCGTCGTTGTGTCCTTCGTCTTGAGAAGAGCGAAAAGCGATGAGAGCCGAGGAGTGGGGAACCCCAACGAAGGAGACAGTGCGACACTCAGTGCGGAGCGAGCGAGAGAGATGCGTGTGAAATGGCAACGCCCACTTTCTGGGGCCCCCACCACCCCATTACTCCTCAATCCACAATCCACCCAAACCACCACCAGGAGCAAAGGCGCCACGAAAAAAAACACTGTTAGCCGGTAACAGAGCTCTGTTAATCGGCAGGAGGCGTCGCCTGCTAAACAGGACTCTCTCTTGGCCACCAACGTACCCTTTACCTCGTTTAGTTTTTTATTTTTATACCCTTGCAGTGGGTACTTCAGTTTCGGGCAGAAGTTAGCCACTCAGTAATGGCCACTCAATGCCGACCCTGTTAGGCTTATATATATATTCTTGATCAGCAAGGAAAGTCAATCTAGTCTTGTCCGTTTGTCCGTTCGCTTGTCCGTTTCAACGTAAACTTTTATCTCATTTTTAAACCTAGTTTGATTAAACTATCGTAAAAGTCTCAATTCTAGTACAGGTAGTATATATAGCTCCCATTAAAACAATCGAACAAATAAAAGAAAAAATTATTCTTTCTTTGTCTTTTAATTTCTAATAAAATAGTAATAAAAGTAGTAGTAATAGTGGTTTACTATTTTATAATCAAGTTTTTAATTTTATAAAAGTCGGATCCAAAAATTCATCGGAAACTCCACATAGCTTCAGTGTTAATCAACATAGACTCATAAAATCGTATTATAATCGCTTTATAGAAAATATAATGTTTCTAATAGCTGCAAGGGTGTATAAACTTTGGCTTGCCTCCTTCCATGCTTATTATGTTTTTTTTTTGTAGCATAGTTGAGGTTGCTATCTGATGCAGACAAACTACTGCTGCACTTGCCCGAAGTCGGGGTAGATTGGTATTCCTCACAGCTACCCCTGGTATTTAGCTATTCGTCTTGCTCACTGTCACCCCCCCACCACAAACTCTACTATATATATGGTAGTGCTACTACCCCTCGTGATATTTATAACGTGTGGCTGTGTTCATGATTTAATTAAAAACTTTTGCTTGCATGCAGCAAAATGCACATTCGACGACAAAAGGGCAACTCGAAGGCCGACAAAGGGTCGAAATGAGATCGTTTTATCGTGGAGTAGCTGTAACTTCAAATTAGCCAACACCAAAGGAACTAAAAATATTTATAATGGTTTAATTAAGTGTTGTTATCACAACCAACTTGGTTTT